CCTCCCCCCGCGCTCCCGCCCACCCCGCCTGCCGCCCGTGGGCGTGGACATGTCTCCTGTGAGAGCAGGGACATTTGCAGTGCCTTCCCCCTGCCGCGTGCACTGCAGGAGCAGTGTGATTCGCAGGCCCCCCCTTTCCAGGGCCTTTCCTCCCCTTTAACTCCATCACGCTGAAATTGGGGATAATGTGCACAGAGCGGGTTCCTAGGTAATCTCCCTGACCTGCTGTCAGCGTCTGTGACGTAAAGATGCCCAGGGAAGAGGGGGAACATGACATGTTCCTGCGAGAGCGGGCCGGCGGCGGCTGGCTGGGGAAAAGGACACAGGCGCTTCGGCGCTTCGCCTCCTGCATCGCCCTCTCCTCCGTTACGTAGTCAAGGGAAAATCTGCACTGAAAAAGCTTTCAAATAATGAAGCATTGCAAATATTTTACATGGGGAGTCTATAGCATTTCTGTCAGCGGAAGTCTTTACGATGTGTTAAGACAGATACGTGCCACAAATAAAACAGGCATAGTTTATACCCCGGAACTGAGGACCCCGCTGAGGCCTCCTGCACCCCTGTTTTTCTGTCGTCGTCTGGTCAGACCATAAGCCAAAGCACAGACTACTTCAGGTATATTCAGGGGATTCTCAGCAGAGCCAGACTGCAAGCTGTCAAGTGCTGAGAGGACGGTGCTGCAGTTTTCAAGATGTGTGGGAGGCTCCGCCGTGTCAAGGTACAGCCGTGGCCGCAGCAAGGATCTGTAAGGTTGACCAGGCTTGCAGGTGAGGATGTAGAAAACCATTGGAGGTGAAGGTGCTCTACAGGTCTGAGGGGCACAGAAGTGGTGGTGATGTCTACCATCAGTAAAACGGGAATTAGTTGGAGAAGTTGGGAGTGAAGGAATAAAAAGTTTGGTTTTATCTGTGAAACAGTCAAGTCAGCATCAAAGAGGGGATACTCGAGAGAGGCTGAGAATTTGTTTTTAGAAGACTTGAAGTAGCTAGGTTCATCCGTGAGTCGTCAGCATTGATTCACTTCAGTCCACTGAATCTCTTTGCAGATGGGATCACCCAGAGCTAACAGAAAAGTCAGAAAGAGAATTAAGGATAGCGCCTCAAGGAGCTGTATTAGATGAAGTAGGAAGGTAATTTCATTGAAAGGCATACGGAAAAGGAGCAATTACATAGGAATTGAAGATTCAGCCAGGAAATGCAAGGTAAGATAACGCGTCCAAAAGAGCACAGTGAAATGTGCCGAGGACGTGTAAGAAGGATAAAGATGGAGCACTGCTCCGAGTTTTAGCTAGGAAAACATCAGCGGGAACATCGGTAAGAGCAGTGGCAGAAGCTGAAGAGAAGAACTCCAGGCAGCAACAGCAAAAGATGCATGCAGCGAGTAGCGGTGAGAGGAATGGGACAGCAGCTGCAGAGGCAGGAGGATTGGTGATAGTTTGGGGGATGGGATGGATTCAATTGAAATTACAATGGGCAAAGAGAAGTTCTGCTAAGGAAATGGGAAATCTGACACGCAGGAAGGAATCAGATGAGCTCCATTTGTTTAGCTGGCAAAATAAAACCTGTGAGAGGCCGTGATCACTGTTATAGCTATTTCAGTGGTCAAACACTGAAAAACTCTATTAGAAGTAGAGGATAATTGAGGAGATTAAGTACCCAGACTCCTGAATGTTGCTCAGAAGACCCTTTATTAAGCGAAACCGCAGGTTATATAGTGTTGTTGTCTGTTCACGCGTTTAAGCCATCATTTGATTGGTCACTGCTGAATGCCCACGCGCAATACAGTTACAGTCTATTAGTAGGTTAACACACAATGTCTGAAATCAGCATAATCATCAACCCTCCTGTTAAGTTTTTGCTGAGCATCCTATTATTCTCCTCCAGATCCTATTTTCTTTCATCAGCTTCCTTATTCCTCTTCCTCTTGTGTCAATCTTCAAGAGCTTCATAACCTTCGATGATGTTGCCACCTCCAATGCCGACCACAAAGCTTTCCACAGATAATGGTGGATAATAACAACTAAATATAAAGAATCAGTGAATCACTGATTGCTGACGGTTGATGATGGTTGCTAACTAAAAGTACCACAGGTCCTGTGTGGCTCCTGCAGCTCTGAGGCAGTTCCCGCGTGGCCCAAGGCTACGCTATGGTGCGATGAGGACAGCTGGCAAAGCGGGGAGTTTAAGGAGCAGAAAGGTGAGGAACTTCAGGGTCTGTGACGAGTAAGAGGAGAATATCCATAAAAGTTTAATCAGAAATTACTGCATGGATCATGGCAGTGTTATAGACTGCAAGCAAGAGTAATAAATTAGAATAGACTTGAATATAAAAATTATACCGAACGCATTAGGATAATAGTCCATTCTGGCCTTAGAGTCTCCAGAGCAATGAAGCAACTCCCTACTCTGTTCGAAGGCTGTGTGGGAACTTGCTGGCTCAGGGAATTTTTTTCTTTGACTCTTCCACTACTATGGTTATAGAGACTTCCCTTTCCAATAGCTTTACATGCCGTTCTTGTTGCACTACATTTCCCGTACTTGGGAGAAGCAATGGGTGTTCCTGAAGTTTCATGTTAAATCGAATGTTGTTAAATGAAATGCTAAGCATTGCTCCTTGCCAGGATGATAGGCACGCCGCTCTGCCTGCTCTGACAGGGTCTTTACCTTCGCTTTCGTAATGTCTCAGAAAACATTTGCCTTTTCTTCCCTCCCTTTCCTGATGTGACAATAAGAAAATGTCACAGTTTGTGTTCAAATACCACACAAGTGACTCTCTCAGAATAAGGAATAGACTCAGTACTAGGTCTATAGCTGCCCTGTCTGCTTTCCTGTGGCGCTTTTCCTTCCTTCTTTTCTGTCTGGTTTCTCGCGGCAATGTTACAGAGAAAGCATAAGAAAAAGCACCATGCTCGACAGCGTTCACACGATTGGAGCTTTTTTTACAAACTATTTGCAAATACTTTTAATGATCAATTGAAGATAGTTTCTGAAGACTATCAGGGTTGTTTGGCATGTAACATGTTCTGAAATGATATTTACCCTGTTCCCTTAGCATCTTTCATTAATCTTGGATATCACTTTGTCTGTCTGAGAAAAGCAGGTGCGCTGCCTGCTGTCTGTAACCCACCCTCCCTTTTATCAGCCTTTGAGCTAGATTCTTCCGCTATAGAGAAGACTCAGGCTGTTTGAAATGTTATTCCCTTACCTAAGATGCAAGACCACCTCCCCTTCCCTTAGCTCTGCTTTTCTCCAGCATTTTCCAACTGCAGAGACATTTGTGCACAGGAATGAGTCTTACTGTGTAGCACATCACATAGATTAACAAAAATGAGTAGCATTGGAACTGTTATCATGGGTAGCAACAAACATGGTATCTTGGCTCCTTCATTACTGCTGACCTACCGGGCAAGGGGAGAAAGCCCATGTAGCTCCCAACACTTCTGAAAAATTAGTTCTTAAGCTTAATCTGTTGGCTTTTTACGTCCGCTTCACTAGTGTGGTGATACGCATATGATAACTTAAGGCTGAAAAGCAAACCATTAGCATACACAGAAACATACACTTCCTTGTAGCTTCTGAAACGGAGACACTAGTCACCCTCTGCCCTCCTTAATATCGGTAGACCTGCCACCTGCCTCTTTCACTTTGTCATTCCTCGGTCTCAGAGCTCGCTGTACGCTCCACCGCAGAACGCCTACAGATCAGCGCCAAGATCGCAGCGCCAAGATCGCGCTGCCAGTCTTGGAAACAGACGTTTCCCACCATCTAGAGTTTTTCCATTGTTTTGTCTACGCTTCTACAAATATATGCAAAGATTGCTGGAATGTCTTAATACAAGTAACCACATTGTTAATAGCTGCATAATACCTAGAGCCCAATCACAGATACTTTAGTGTGGTAATTATATCTAGAATATTTTAATTAAAATATCTAGTGATCACACATTTTAAAATTCTTTTTTAAAAGAAAAAATTTTAAAATTTTGTTTAAATCTATGCATTTTGGTATAATTTTGATTAACTATATAAATATATCAATCCTCTATTTGCTGTATTACAATTTCAAGTATAATTACTGGTCCAAATAGGTTCAGGAACACATAGCGGCTTTGAGATGCCCTGTCTTTTTCCTGGCCCTTGCCTGCACTTCCTCACGCACCGCTCACCCGCAGAGGTTACTGCTCTCCCGGGCTGGGTCTCCGTGCGGTGCTGAGGGGCTGGCAGGACACAGCGCCCAAGGCAGACCACGCTGCTGGGAGCCAACTCTTGACCTTGCTTAGAGCCCATCATGCCATCCGCGTCTGGGCTCAGCGCGCGCTCTGAGAAACCTGGGGCGAGAGGAGACCTGGCTGTACAGCGTGACATGGGGTTTACGTGAGACTCGATGCGACTCCTAAAAAGACTAGCAGGCTCCAAGGGGTGACTCTTATTCTGCAGTAGTCTTTCTCAATTTGTGTATTAACATAAAACAGACTGGCACGTATCTGTTCTCTGGAAGGCTGCGTAAGGGTTGTTAAACATGCTCTGCACCCCTTCGCTTTACATAGTATAGTGGATGCGATGTCTCTGGGGAGGGGAAGAAATGCTACAGCAAAAGGTCTCTGAGAGAAGTAGATAGTATTGAAGTATCGCTGCATACAGAATCCTTCACGTTTTGGAGGTACGTATAAGCTTCCAAAAATTACTGCACTTGTGCTTCTGTCACAAGGGCACTTTCTGTGCTCTAGCCTGCTAGTTTGTGGTGTTCATGGCTGTGAGGAGGGCGTCTGCATGTTTTGCAACCCCTCCTATAGCTCTCCATGGATTTTTGCAGGGGCTGGAGGCTGGCTTTCATTATACAGCTACACTGCAGATTATGGGCTAAAATTTAGAACTTTCAACATGTCATACGAATTGATTTACCCTTCTGAATGGTCAAACTGCGTGCAAAGGATTCTGAACTAACGAACAAGGTCTATCTCTGCTCACTTGTGAGTCTTAATGGATGCTTAGGCACTTTGGAGAGTAGAAGCATGCACGGGACCATGTTTGTTTTAGAAAAGGCAACTGCAAACCAGATTGTGAGGTATGGAATTATATTATTTCCTGAAGAATATAATTCCAGAATTCTATTAGCTTTTTAAATTTTATTATTTGAGCACCTTCAGATTTGTCACCACTATGAAAAAGGAGTAATCATTCTAATTATACCTTATTTTTAACGTAGGATTTTTTCTTAAGACAGCTCTGTGAATTTTGTTAGTCTCAGACTGCAGTGGATTACATAAACATTAACTAGCTCAGAGAACTGCTCGAGGCTCAGTCAGTTTTATGCTTGCCTGTAGTTAGCATCTAGAAAAGGAGGAATTAAACAAGAAGAGCCCAGTTCCGTTGTTTGCTTTTTGGAAGAATGGATTTGCAACTCATGCTCTTCAAAAGGGGGGCTGGGATTAACTAAACTCGATGTTCTTCAGAGACCCCTTTGGAAATCCTGCAAAACTGCTCTTTGGAGATGCTACCAGCAACCAGTCCGTTGCAGCGCGGTAGAAGGGAGAAGGTGGCAATCCAAGCACCAGTTTCATTTCATAGGGAAAGGAGCTTTGCCGGGGAGGCAGCCCAGACTGCTTTTTCCAGAGGAGTTCGCTGAAGTCTGTACGAGTTGGGTAGCCAAGCTCCAAAGGGGCGGCAGGAGAAGGCAAAGCAGCAGCTTTGCAAGGGTCCTTCCCATCCGGGTATGTTTTTCATACGTTATTCCATGCTGTCTTGGCATCTTTCTCTGCATTTACACTGGCTACTACAGCCCAGGCAAGTACCATTGTACTACAGCCAGTACCAATTGTACTACAGCCCAGGCAAGTACCGTTTGACACCACGGTCGGAGCGTGCGCTACCTCTGCCAGCACCACGCTACCAGTGTAACTGCCGGCTGGCTCCTTCAGCGGGACCGAGGGCAGAGCGCTGTTGTGCGCCCGGGTCAGGTACCTACTCGCAGTGTGGGTGCAGCTGCCCCACATCAGCTGTCTCACAAAAGACACCCCAGCAGGCCTTATGGTATGCCATACCCCTCCTCCCCACACCATGGCCCAAGCGTTCAGGTGTCCCTCTCGGAGCGCTACACTACCAAACACCTCACCTGGCGTGCTATGAAATAGCCTCTCATATCTCCCCTTTCCACTGCCGTTTTGAGTGTTCACAGGCACAAAGAAGCAGCCTGGGTATTTACGTTTGCAAGGATCATGTCCAGATACAACATTTTGCATCAAAGAACAGTTCCTGCAGCAACGTGCAAGCGCACCCTGAGAGATGACTGTGCCACACTGGCGAGCAGGGCCACTTCCAAGCGCGGCACTGAAAACTGCCTGTCTGTGCCTGAGGCCTGGAGTGGGAGGTGAGCGCGCTTGTCCCTGTTACAAGCCACGTGAAATTTTGGCAGAGAAGCCATTCACTAGCCTCTTGCTGGTCACAGCCCCCACCAGGGAGGGCTGGTGCGCCACGGGCTGTAGGAGAGCTTGCGTCCAGGGTGATTCCTGCAGGGCAGCAGGGTCACAGATACCGAGCTCCAAAGGGGTCCTGACATCTCTGCAGAGCAGGTACAGCTTGTCCCCAGCCGGGGACCTTGAACGTGTGCTTAGGCGCTCCAGTGAAAGCATAAACAGGAAGGAAGTCCTCCTACCTGATCTCTGCTCTTTTTGATTACTTTTTCTAGGGATGTCATCCATTCCCATGTCGCCTTCAGCCTGAAGTTTGCCATATGTTAACCAGCTGCTAATACCGGTGTTCTTCAGGGTTTAGATGCCTTAAGTGCATCTAAACAATATGAAAATTATTAATTTGTTAATAATTTGTTATTACTTATTAACAATAAGCAGTTATTAATTGTTCAGTTTCTGCAGTAGCACAGATTTTTTTTCCTCCTCCCAGTTTTGCAATGTCATCAACAAGGCTCTCCATAAATGAATTTCAGAGAGACAGATCCTTTCTCCCTTTTCCCTGTATGTGCTGTGACCCTGCGGCGTGCGTGGTGGGTCCCCCTAGCCACGAAAGGCCCTC